TCAACTCATTGCTCCTAACCTTTCATTTAAATTTTGCCAGCATACAAAATTAATTTTCTAATATCATATTTCGGCTTCAACATATACAAATCCTTCGCTCAGGTGATTTGCCTACAACTCCTTAACAAACAAAGCACTACAGAGAGACTCCAAATCTTACAAGGATGCGTCCATCAAATCAGATTGTACTTCGACAATTTCGCGCATCTTTTGAAGCCACCTTAACTGTGGTAGAAAGCCTCCTCCTCAGAAGTTTCAAATCAAACCACGAGCTTTTTTTACACTTTCGTGAGTCCTAACGTTTACAGTCCTTAGTGACCGTCTATCCTGCATAACAAACAGCTTTACGAATGACCATCAGCTACGGCCCCTACCGGGTATGACCCACGGCTGACAATTACTTTTCGTTCTTACAACTATGTAAAGTTTGTTGCAGCAAAATATTATCCATTTTACGACAATATTGCCGCCACTGTCAGGATATCATAATTTTGTGTAAAAGTCTCGTCTAAATGTAATTTGGTAATGGTTCTATTATTTTGTTGATTTGATAAGGTTTCTCGGCAGGAAGTCTCTTTTACTTTAACTTGGTTAAACTGCAACATATGGTAAGTACTCACCAGCATTTGTAATTGGAATTTTTCGCGTACAGAGTTCATTATCGTCGTATTAAAGCCGTCAATTTTGCTTATAAATCCTTCATGTATGTGTTAAAATTCTAAAAGATTACTTCATTTTTTATCAAGAATATCTCAGCAGTAGTGATGGGAATGCGTTTAAAATTGATTTGTCTTTCTACCCTACCACTTGGCTTATGTTCTTTCAAATTTCATATTTTTCAGGAAAGTGACGGCATCGAAATAATTCAAAAATGAGTGAGTTTGTAGAAGCAAGCCTTGAAAGGCTTATACCAGTTTTTGAACTCCTGCAAACCATCGGATTATTTTCAAAAATTGAAGTTAAACGATTTGTAAAACGATGCCGGAATTTTGAGTATCGTCTTCAGAAAACTGTAAGTCTAATAGCAATGAATGTTATATTGTCATTTTGCTTCGACTTATTTTTGAAATTGACTTTCAGCGTAAAGATCCGAATGATTTCCTACTTTATGCAGATTATTTACACGGCGCTTTAAAGTTGGTACGTTTAAGGAGGAAGCTGCTGAATTATAAAATGAAAAATAGCGAAGTAGTAAAGCCAATGAAAGCAAAAATTGCGTTTTTGTACAAAACAGTTACTTCTCGCTTCCCGGTAATTGTTTTTCATTTTTAGTCCGTAGACTTTTGTTTCTCATTCTCAATTCTTTTTTTTCATTCTGAACCGAGTTTTCTTTCACAGTTATGAATTATTTCATTGGCTATGCTGTGAAATTGTTAGTGGTTTTTAGGGTAGAAGATATCTCTGGCGAAAAATGATAGACTTCTTGAGAGAAGAAAAAATGCGTATAGGATGTAGCGAAACATACTTCCGAGTTTTACAAGTAGTTTTTTAAGTATTTATTTCTATGCCATAGTTTTTCTGCTTATAAATTAATACTTTACGGCTTTACTTGTTCTGAAGGTTCTGGGAAATGACATTCAGTTACGCGTAGAGGGAGCTTTGTGGGAGTTCGAACAGAACAACAGTATTGATAATGCAAGATTACACCTTCAGATGGGTCTTCGTTTAGCTCCTGAAGCAGCATCCTTATGGATTTGTTTTTTAAAGATAGAAATTATGAATGTTCAGAGGTGCTTATGCTTTTTGTTCTTTTAATGGAGTTATGCAAGTTACCAGTTTGACTGTGCTCATCTCTAACTATATCATTTTTTTCGTTAGGCTAATGGAACGTAAAAAGGTTCTTACTGGGGAAGAAGGGAAGAAAAGTACCGGAACAGCTCTCTTTAATGATGAGGAGGAAGAATCTGATAAAAGGAATGAGGATTCTTTTAAAGATTCTGACCCAGTTATGAATTTCAAACTTGCAGAAATAGTTGTCGACCACGCGCTACAAAATCCTGCAATTAAGGACAAGAAGGGTAAATCACTTGCTACTTGGCACATTAAAGAAGGTTGATTCCTTTTTGTTCTCTTTTAGGTTTGCTATTGGAAATGTGGAGGTGTACTTTTTGCTTCAAAGAGGTTGCTCAACAACTAGAAAAAGATACTTATAACAGGTTATGGTTGCCAGGGCAGGTTTGCGAGGAGAGTTGGATTGCCTGTTATGAAAGGACAACAGATCAGGTTGTTACCGTGTACTTAGAAAGAGATTTCTTGGGCAGTTTTTTTGTTTTTTGAAAGAAAGCAAACTTTTCTTCTTATTTTTCTTTTAGTGTAGCTGGCTAAATATTTCGGCAGCGTCAGAACTGGAAGAGATTGATTTTATATTTGAGGATGATGGTAGAGTACCAAGATTAGGATAAGGGTCGGTTTTGTAGCTTGATAAGTTACCATAGTTATGAAAATTTTGTGATTGTAGGACCCATACGGAATATTGGACGAAGCTTGCGAACATTTTGATACTGAAAAGATGCTTAGGTATTACATTGAGGTCTGTAATAAACGCAGTTTATCTGACGGTAAGTAATTTTTTTGTGGAGCTAGAACTGGATTTGGTTTTGAGGGGTTTATTGGCTATATTAACAGCTAGGGTTTTTTAGGAATTACTGTTTTATCTATAGTATTTTATTAACTTTTCGAATAGCTCAATTTTTTTCAGATATATATGCAACAATTAAGCTAAAAGAGCTGCTGTCTCGGCTCCACCGTAAGGGTTTTGCTCAAATTGAAGATTATAAAAAGTTATTATCTTACGGTGAGGATCAGGAGGAGAAGATTCAGTTTGTAGAGGCGGCTTTGGAGTGGTTCCCGTCATCATCTTTCTTATGGACAGAACTTATTAAATTAAAAATGGCACAAAATACCAACATTAAAGAAGTGGAACTTTTATTCAATGAAGCTGAAACCAAGGTTATTTTAAACTCTCTCAAATTTTTTAATTATTTGTTCAAAATGGGCTGCTCTGTTTTAAGTACGTTATGTCCTAATTTTTTAAAATGTTATTCTTTGATTGAATAAGGGCTTCTTGTTCCTGGTTTTTTTATTGCTTCTCTAATAATTACGAACTTTTTTAAGGTTTTGGAATATGTCGCTGAGCTGTTAGCTTTAAGGATTTTTGGTTTTATTAATATCAGATGTAATATGAAGCATTCTGAGTTGAGTTTTTTACAGCGGATATGTTGCGAATTAGTTTTTTTCAGGTAGAATTGAAAGAAATACTTCCGCTGTATCAGTTGGCAATAGACTGGGCTATTGCCAACGTCCCCTCTAAAGTGGATGCCGTATTTGAAAGAGCCATGCTAGTGAGCTGTCCTGAGGTCTCCTCAGAAATAAGATGCATCAGATTAAAGTTAGTGAATAAATTTTGAAATTACTGTGTAGTACTATTTTTGTTTGTTTTTTTGTTTGTTTGTTTTTTGTTTTTTATTTTCTTTTGTTATACTATTTTTGTTTGTTTTTTATTGTTTTCTCAACTCTTCTGTCTTTAATAGGTATTGTAAAGCTGCGTTCCCGAATGATCCATCTGTTTTTCGTGAGGAATACAGGAAATTATACTCGAGTCCTCCAAACAGGTGAGAGTTTGATCTTCTTTTGCTTTCTGTAGTTGTTCTTTTTGTCAACTAAAGCATTTGTAATTAGCTCGGACTTTTTTTGTATTCCTACTGAGAGCACTATTAAAAAGTTAGCTAAATGGATCAAGAAATAGTGATTTTTTTCTATATTAGTTCTTTCTATTAGTTCTAAATTTTTTCTATATTAGTTCTTGCTCTAAACTTTCTTGGCGTGTTTCATCCGAATGTATTTGTGTTTAAAATCTGATGAGTTTTTGTGTTTTTGTGTTCGCTACCTTCAAGTGTCTTGTTTCTACATATTTTGTTGAAACTGCGTACGTTCCTGCTAAATTCTTATTTTAAGTCGAAAATTCTATGAAACTTATATTGAACTGGAGAGGAAGATTATGGTTCCTGATAATAAAAGAATACGATCTGCTTTTGAAGATTATGTGACTGATCTTGGCACTACTGATTACAACTGTTGGATCGAGTATGCCAAATATCTGTTAACAGTAGATCCGTCCGCGGTTTCTGATATTTACCAGGCGCGTTAAAGAGTTTTTTATATCTTTTTATGACGAACAGTCTTTTTGACATTTGTGGTCAGTTAATGATAAGTAATTTTTTTAGCGGGCTTCAGCATGTATACCGAAAGCGGAAAGCGACTCCTTTACAGAAGCTTGGGTTGTAATGCTTCGAGAAAGTCAACCTTCAAATGTGGAACAGGCTCAGAAAAGCGCAGCCAGAAACTAAAAGAAAATCTGTTGACAGTCATAAACGTTGAGCTATTCTCATTATATTAAAGATACACTGCTGTCGTTCTTTGTTATCGTTTTTGTAAAGATTCAAATTGTTGCCAAGTTATTGTTGAAGGTATAAAAAGAAATTGTTGGAAACAGAAAGGTTTTTTTGACTTTGCAAGAGAGAATTGTCGCCTCGGAGTTTTGCAGAATTGGGAAATCAGTGAGGAAGATGCCGTATAGTCAGCAGTTTGCAGCCAATGGAGGTGAGAAAGAACGGGTAACATGAAGGGGCTTTACGGATCTCATGCAAGTGGCATCAATCGACTATTTGGCGTACAGTAGTTTTGCTATATTGGTATCCCCGTCTAGACCACCAAATCGAGGGAGCTTTTGAGACTAATTCGGCAGCATCCACAACACTGTTTTTGTATGCTGGGGCGAGATCTGAAAGCATAACAAAGTCTTAACTTCAGTTCTGGCGCCATGTTACGTTTTTCACTGGCGCAGCCATTCGATTATTGGAAGTTCTTCACATCTTCCGCAACGAATTTTGGTCATACAGTATCAGCGGAAGAACATTAACTACAAGTTTGACGAATTACACATTTGAGGTAACTGTTGCACTAATTAGTTCTGCTCGACTTCTCAAGGATGTCGCAGATTAGAATCTTCCAGTCAAGACCTATTTTCAAAGAGTCATCTCTTTCGTTTTAGTGCTGAACAATTATCTGCAAATAAGACTCAAACTTATGCTTTGCTTGCCCAAGCTGTGCTGCTCTACAACTGAACACTTTGACAACCTTGTTTGGCATTCCTTAATAATACTTATTGAATTCGATGACTTTCTCGCGTTGTCTGCAGTGACGAAAAGCTAATAAAAGTTTGAAAATTCTGCTTGGTTTGAAAATATAAAAAATTTGTAGGACAAAAGTGTTTCTAAAAGAAATGGGAAAAGTTGGAAAATTTTCCTTGTCAAAATTACAGTGAAATTATCCTGAAACAGCATTTATCAAAGCAGAGGAAGCAAAAAGAATTATTTTTTTGGATAGTTGTTAAGATCTTTGCTGACAGAAGTAATCATAACTGTTGCCAGAAAAACTTACCGTTACCTGTGTACAATATTCTAAAGATATGTGCATTTCTGAAGCATCTTGTTGATGACGTCAAGTCTGCTATCAGTTAAAGAAAAAAAAAAAGAAGTTTTAGGAAATTGATCAAATGTTGACATTTTTTCTTGTTCTTTTCAAGCGTAGTGATTCTGATTTTGAAAAAATGACTTACTGCCTGCAGCAGAGGAAATCCACATTTGCGTTTTTTCTTTTTTTCTGCTTGGACTTAAGCTGTTATTTTAAGTTTTGATTTCAAAACTGGGCAATAGTTAAATTTCGAATAAATTTAGATCAGAATTTAATATTACCTTGAGCAGAAGTTTTATGCACTACTTGCTGTGATGGAATTTTCAGTTGTGTGAACAGCTATTTTCTCATCAACGTTGGAAAGAGAGATCATCGTCGACACATCTGATGTTCAGCAAAGGTGGCAACAACCAGTTGGTCATTGGTGGATACATGATAATTAGGAATTTTTTCGCACTTATTGCCATTAAGGTTTTCTGTTGTTAAGTTGTTTTTGATGGGCATTTGACAGATAATAGTACAAATGCAAAAAACTTTGTTTGCTGATTTTGTGTAGTAATTTTGATGAGAAAAAATTGGCTGATATTAGAGGTTCATTTTCAGAGCAAGTTCAACTTCATTAATGCATTTACAGATTTAAATGGCCCTTTGAACTGTTGACATTAGATTGGCGACGATCAAATTCGTGCATTGTTTGCAAATAAGCTGTAATACCGATGTATTTGAATATTTTGGTGATAGTACCAAAGTTACGTGATTTTTATTCGTCTTTAAATAAAATTTGCCAATATGATATGGTGAAAACGTTCAAAAGATTCCCCAAAAATTTTTTCAAAATTTTACACCTAGTATCTAACATTACTGAAACAATTGTTGAATAATATACCAATATTTAAAGTAAGTAGAGTAGACCCAAATTACATCGTAACAAAATTGCTAATGTGCTGGACGATTAAGCTGTTTCAACGTTACTTTGCAAAATCTGCATTTCTGAGCTGAAAAAAAGTGTCGGTTTTGCTGAACGATGCTAAGTACAGGAGACAATTCAAAAAAGCGTTAAATTTAAAAAAAAAAGATTAAATAACGGATATATGGATTTCCTAACTGATAACACATTTGTAAATAACTTATTTCTTTTGCTATTCACAAATAACTTTTTAACTGCAATCTATTTTGTGGCAGTAAAGCAACTATTTTAACCACCGTTTAACGGACAAAAGAAAATGGTGTTGCGGCAACAGCAAAAAAAAAGTTTGTGCAACTAAACTTTTTTCATTCTGTAAATTTTGATAACTACTTTTTCCTGTAAAGTTAAACGTATTTGCTACTGGGAAAAGTCAGGAAAAAAGCATTAAGAAGATTCTTGAATTACTTTGAGTCTTAAGAAGCTTATCGATCATCTGTTCTGCAAATAAAGCACTCATTTTTTTGTGGCACCATTAAATGTCAACTGTCTCCTCTACGTTTTGACGTCCTATTCAATTTTAACTAAAGAAAAAGTGGTTAAGTTGTTGCAGAATCAAAGACTGGCATTCAAAAGTGTTGCAAAATGCTTATAAAAAAACAATTATTTGTCTTATATTATTTTTGGCCAACAATTTTTTTTTTACTATTTTGAGCCATAAAGCAGATATCTGGACCAAATGTCAACAAAATATGATTTAGTTTTGCTGCTCAATTTCTGCTGGTAACAGAAAATTAACTCCATAATAAAGGCATAAAAATTTTATGGTTTTAAAGGCAGAACTGTTGGTCGCTTACTTAAGGCAGGGACAAAAATGTGTTATGTTGTGAGGCTTTGATGGAAACAAATTCAAAAAAATAAATCAACATCTAAAGTGACACAACAGACTGACACATTAGATTTCTTGCCGTAGTTATCAGAATCAGCTACGATTGCTATCATGCGAAACTGAAAAAAAAAATGGATTTTTAATTTTATTTCTCTACATTTTGTATAATAAGTTTTTTTTTTGATGAATATTGATACAGTGTTTGCTATAGAATTTAGCTCTATGTATGTATAGTTAAACTGTAAACTTCCATCGTATAATACTGTGTGTACCAACCAAAAAAAAAAGATTTGACGACGGTGAGATTTGAAGCGGGGAACATAGGGTTGTTAACGGAACCAAAAAGAATAGTCGGTTGGTTGAACAAAGCATCTATTTGCTTCAACAATTCGTCTAGCAAAATTTATACGGTTGAAACTGAATCGTAACAAAAGATGAAGAAAAAAAGCTAACAAGAATAACAATAAGGAGAATGAGAAACCAAATAATACGATGGGTAGTGGTTGTCAACCGGCTTCAATTCTATCAAAACATTCCTCTTGTTTCCTTCTTCTTTCTCCACTTTTTTCCTACTCATATAGCCCATAATCTTCGGTTGGTAAATCGGTCGTATAATTGATACGCCGAGAAAGAAGTGTTATTTATTTACCGGTTGATGCAATCTGTAATTTTGAACGATTTCTGCTTCACGTTATTAGTCTGAGTTTTTGCATTTTTCCGCTTTTGTTTTTTCAAGAATCTGGACTCATAATCAGATTAAGCAAGGAAAAAAAAAAGACTTTTCAATTAAACATTAGCTGGAATTTAACCGGTATTTTTAGGGGAACGATGAACTTAATAGTGTGCAGCAGAAGGTAGTTTTGGGGTTTATTTAACGCAAACAAAAAAAAAATCGACAAAAAGAAAAATGAAAAAAAAAAGTTCAAAATGGAGTAACTGAGGACAAAGGAAGGCGGGGAAGAAAAAAGAGGAAAGAAAAATTGAAATTTTTTAAACTTTTATAAAACACATCTTTTCAACAAACAACAGTAAAACTTTGCTGGCTTTTTTCTCTTTTTTTTTTCTTTTTTTCTGCTGTTTTTGTTGTGTAAAAAAAAAATCATTTGCATCAACGTTTACAGTCTGCTATATACGCCAGTTGAAGACTATAAATAAACGAGTTTTTTTCTTCGTGTGTTTGTTCGGTTTTTTTTGGGAGGGAGGGTAAGAGATGGAGGGTCAGAGGGTGGGGGAGATGGGTGGAGATATATCTTTCGGCTGTTACCCCGTATTCAACCATTGTTGTCGCTGTTGGTGCCGTCACTGTAGTTTGCTTCAATTGTTACCGCTACTGTTGTTGCTTGCTCAGTTGTTTGTTGATTCAGAAACTTTGAAAAAAGAAGCAGAAGAAGAAGAAGAAGGAAAAAAAAAGTAGTAATTTAAAGACAATCATACACTCAACCAGTCAACCAAATAACCGTATTTTCTGTTGCCGCTTTTCTACACTTTTTTTCTTGCTACTTTTTACAAACAAAATGGTTACGGTTACTGTTCTGTGTCTGAGTATATTTATGTAGGTGAATGTTTGTATGGAATGTGTGTATTTTTGTATGTGTATCTGTGTGTTTGTGTGTGTTTTTGTATGTGTATGCGTGTGTTAAGAATTTTAATCTCTAATCCATAGAACAAACCTTACAGCTACGGCAAAATATAACTTTTTTTTGCAAAGTGTCCTTGCTGGCGTAAATATTTTAATGGTCTGCTGGCAATTTCAGTTGGGAGTTCTTACGAAGAAGACTCAGTGAGCGCATCTGAACCCGTGAAAATAGGACCATGTCGTATGGTGGACCGATGGCCAGGCAACCCCTTGGGGGACGGCCACCTCGAGATTCTGCTGGTAAGTTTAATCATTTACACTTGTCGACTGTAGTACGTCGAGCAACCATCACTGATACATCTTTAGGTGTGGTTTACAAAATCTGTTTCTGCTTAATACGTAAATTTTATGGTACAGCTGAAGGTAACAAAAGACAGAAACCCCCAAAAAACAAAAAACAACTTTATTACTAAAAAAAATGTAAAATAGTTAGGAAAAAAAGAAAAGATACAATTGCTATAAAAAAATTTGAGGTTTATATTACATATGAAATGATATAAAATAACATATTGCTTCTTTTTTTTGCTATTATTCTTATTTTTCATTTCTTTTATAAATTTTTAGATTTTTTTTTATGAGGTATGAGAGTATTTATGGTTTTAACCTTTGACAGTGACAAAACAAGCACGTCGTCAGGGTTATTTTGTTGAAAATTTTTTGGAAGATTAAACATCTATTGTTATTGAAAAGGTGAAGAAAATTTGTAACAACTGATGACGGACATTTTTGAAAATGTTTTATATCTATGATTAATATGTAAAATTTACCGTATATTTCGTAGAATTAGATGATAAAAATTAAACATTAATTTCAGAGTAAAAGTACTTGTTATTATATTTATAACTGAAAGTAACATCTGTTTTAAGCAGCAAAATTTATGCTGATAATAATGAAGAATCTTTGTTAAGTAAAAGAAGTTTCTTGGATATTAATAACAATTTTTTATTCAGTTGAATTATTTTCTCAATTTCTTGTTGTTACTTATTCTGTTGTCTGAAAACAACAAAAGAACCGGATTTTCTTCGGTTTGCAGCTGCCGGAAATCGTATGCTAAAAATTGTTACTGAAGTTGGTTCATCGTCGCTTACCAGCGGTAGCGGTATGTCACCGTTTGGACAAAATGCGGCTTCAACAATTCGGGATAGCAGGGAACGGGAAAAGAAGGAAATGAGCGATCTGAATGATCGTCTTGCTAGTTATATTGAAAAAGTAATTTCTCGATTCGTTAGGGCGAAAAACAGGCGAAAGAAATAATTAACGTAACTAAGCTATTAGTTCAATGTCAGATATCAGATTCACAATTTTCAGTTATCTCTGTTTGCAACCAGCAATGACTGAAACACAAATCTGTTTATCTTTTTTTTTATTTAGATAAAAAAATTTGAACCATTTGGATTAAAAAAGCACTTTTTTTTTTTTTTT